CAAATTCACAATTTTTTTCTTCTTCTTTTTTTTTTTTCTTTTGAGACGGAGTCTTGCTCTGTCACCCAGGCGGGAGTACAGTGGCAAGATCTCTGCTCATGGCAAGTTCTGCCCCCCAGGTTCATGCCATCCTCCTGCCTCAGCCTCCCGAGTAGCTGGGACTACAGGTTCCCGCCACCACGCCTGGCTAATTTTTTTGTATTTTTAGTAAAGACAGGGTTTCACCGTGTTGGCCAGAATGGTCTTGATCTCCTGACTTCGTGATTCGCCCACCTCGGCCTCCCAAAGTGCTGGGGTTACCGGCGTGAGCCACTGCTCCCGGCCAATTTTTTTCTTCTTTTACTTTCAATCTTCTGTTAAGATTATCTAGCATTTAAAAAGTATCAGTTACTGTATTTTTCAGCTCTAAAATTTTGCACTTTGATGAAGTTACCATTTCTCTATTTAGAAATAATTCTTTTAAATATTTGACCATATTTTCTTCAATTTTAAAATGTATAATCGCTGCTTAGAAGTCTTTTCCTAGTAAATTCAACACCTGGGTCAACTCAGAGTCAGTTTCTATCAACTACCTTTTTTCCCTAAGCATGGGCCACAATTTCCTGGGGGTTTTGTTTTGCTTTGGTTTTGGTTTTGCATGTCTTAGACATTTCAGTAGAAAACTGGACATTGTATATAGTATGTTATAGCTACTTATAATCCTGTATTGTTCTTCCAAGAATTATTGGGGTGTTATTCTAGTATGCCATTAACTTGCCTGGATTCAAACTAAAAATATTGCATCATCCTATGTTAGGTAGCCTATGGCGTCTTAGAGCAGTGGTTTTTATTTTGTGTGTTTGTTTTTTGTTTTGTTTTGCTTTTTTCTTTTGAGACGGAGTCTCGCTCTGTCGCCCAGGCTGGGAGTGCTGTGGCGCGATCTCGGCTCTCTGCAAGCTCCGCCTCCTGAGTTCATGCCATTCTCCTGTCTCAGCCTCCCGAGTAGCCTGATCTCTGTAAGTCTTCCAGTTCCTGCAAAGTTCTGTGGTAAGTCAAGCATTTGAGCAGAGATGATTCTCACTCTCTGGTTTGGTACTTCTATTAATTGCTCTCTAATTTGAAACAGCTCTACTGGCTTTGTACTCTATATAGTGATACTCTGAATCCATCCGGATTCAGCTTTCTGCCATTTGTGCTGTGCACAGCCAAGAAATACATTCAGTTAAGAAGTTTCCCACTCAAATCTGTATACCTATATTTTTAAAAGTGGATTTATCTTTAATATCTGCTTGCTTTTTCATTAAGCCTCATCTCTGTACCTATGTAGCTCACTAGTGAAACATGAATTTACACAGCTTATGTTCTGAATTTGTGTCTTACTTTTTCTGGGGATTTTATGCTGTTCAGTATTTTTCTTTAAATTTCTGGCAACTTACCTAGTCCCATATTGATCTTAGCATCATTAGCTGGTAAGGCTGCAGTTTATTTTCACCACCATTTTCCATAGCCATATCTGTGATAATTGATCATCATTCTTGACCCATAATCTGCATATTCACAATTCAAAACCATTGCAATTGCAAGTGTTCAAAGCCATTCCAGTTGCAGACTTCTGTTTCCTTTTCAATGGTCTTCAGTGTCTTTTCAGTCCAGTATTTTACAGTTATTATCTGCAACTACTTTACTTCTCTGTCATTAATTACCATCTTTTTTTGACTTATCATTTATCACACATCTAATAATGACAAAATATATATTAATAAGTTAAATAACTAGCTTATTCAGCACAACAATTCTATTAGATTTCTACTAAGATTGAACTCAAACAAGTTAACTAACGTACCCAACATCATTAACTAAAAAAATCCAGGATTAGGAATTAAATCCAGGATTAGTAATTAAATCTCTCTGCCTCCAGCATTATTCAGTAATACACTCGCCATAATCAAATAATAATAACAGTTAATCTTTAATGCCCTCTTGCTATGTACCAGGCATGGTACTCAGAAATTTAGACTTAATTCTAATTAATACATTTAGTCCTCACAGTAAGCCTACGAAATGGGTACTCTTGTCAACTGTCTTATAGATGAGAAAACGTTAGCCACAGCTTAGCTTATTTGAAGTCACAATAATATTAACTAAGAGCAAAAGCCAAGATTCAAATGTAGGTTATTTTACTATAGACTGAGAAACGAATTAAACTTGGAGCCTAAGATACTTTCTGGAACTGAAATGATTCATTATATGTAACTATAAAGATAATTGACTATAGCTTCCTAAACTACAAATTGTGATAAAAATTATATCTGTCCTGTATCAATCAGAAATTGATATTAAAATTGAGTATTTTAAGACAATAGAATGTCTAGAGCTTTTAATACATTGATATCAATATCAATTGATAGACTTCAAAAGCTTCATAATTTATTCAAATAAACAGACTTCGAAACATTGGCTTAACAATGACTTTTTAAAAATCTATAATGGGTGGAACTCTTTAAAAAATAATTTTTGTTTTATATCCAAGTGATATACTCTTATAACAACTGAAAATTATTTCCTTAATAAGATATGTACCAAAAAGATTAATAATTTAAATGTTGCTATTGTATACAGTCCTTCCAAACACACAAGCACCATTACCAAAATCAACATTACCACTGTACCATTTTTATTGCTTGTTTACCAGAATTTCACACATTGATTTTTCAATTTGTCATGTAACTTAACAAATTTTTTTTAAGTAAACTTAGCAAAAGAAGTAACTTTTGAGAAAGCCAATTTTAGGCAATAAACTTACTACATAGAATCAACTTGTGGAAGATGTAGTAATCTATACAAATCAAGAACTAGGGAAATGAAAACTATCTTAAGGTGATTGCTAAATTTAGATCTCCTGGAGTAGACTCTTCAAGTGAGTTGGAAACTCCCAAAGGTAAGTTTATTTGTTTCGGGTAACTATTTTCCTAATGCAAACATAGCTACAGTTTTCATCCATGGATTCCAGAAAATGATATTATCACCTTTTCCTTTGTTCCAAAGAAGCCCACAAGGCTGATGATAGTCAGTTAACTTATTTCTATAATTACCATATGCTTTGAATTCCAGTAAGGAAATAACTGAGAAAACTAGGGAATAAATACAGAGAAGTGTTACACCTGGGGAAAGTATTGGTTAAGCTTCTTGGCCCAATGGGCTTTAATACAAAATTAAAATCAAAGCAAGCAATCCTCCAAAGAAATCCACTCTAGTTATTCCTTACTGCAAGTAAATCCAAATCAAATTAACAAGGGCTTTGACTCTACGTAAGGTAGCTCTATCTTAAAGTAACTAATATTTTGCGACGTGATGTATAAAAGATAATACAATAGACAAGACCTCTTTAAATTGTGAGTTGGCTGAAATTGGACTATTTCCATTTCATTTCCTGAAACATACATTTCATTATTGCAAGTAATTTCTTTAAAAACAATCTAGCAACACATTTAAAAAATTATAAGCACTTCAGGGTACTTTTCTCAGCCATTGAAAACTATCTAATTAAATATTGTCATGTACAGCATTCATAAAAGAAACATGAAAATAGTCCCTTAAACCAATTATGTTCCCTTCCCTAGAATGTTTTACTCTGAGAAAGTTCTCAACTCATCTGCACCAGGCCATAGTTGTTGATATTGCTAAAATAAACAGTATTACTAATTGTCTCTCAGTAATAGATTATTTAGAGTTGAAAGTCCTTCTAGATACAAAGAAATAAATCATACTGAGAAATATAGACACAATGAAAAAACAATGAGTGAACTACCTTTTCTGAGCAAAGGACATTTATTTCTCAGTATCTTCTTTAATCACACTATGTGGGTGACCCTCTAATTTATCAGTTCATTAACCTGGCCAATGAACTGGCCAGGACCTACTGGACCTGAATGAATAGGACCTACTGGTAAAGACTAATTTTGCATTGGGCCTATTTGTCACTGTACTCTTACTCAAGGAAGAAAAGCTCAAGAGCTTTGACTGTTTCTGAGACATAAGAGGAAAAGGAAGAGCAGAGAAGTAGTTGATAGTTGAAATGGGATATTGGAATGTACTGCAAAAACAGGATAAACTCTTAAATTTGATTTAAATATCTCACATATAAAACTTCCTGTAATGTTCAACTAAGCAAAAGTCACATTAGGCATAATGTCACCGGCATGTTACCAGATGCTCAGGTCTTTTTCTCATCACATTTCAAGGGATTTTATAATGAAAATGCTTCATTGTTTAATATAGAAGTAAGTAGGAAATCCTATTAGTTTGCCTCTTAGAAATATATAGGATTACTTCATAGAAATATATTTTATAGCCAACTCCATCATAACAAACTATTCTACAAAATAAGTGATACCTTTTATACTATATACTACATATACTTCCTTCTCCTTTCCATGCCCTCCCCCTCACCGAGATGGAGCTTCACTCTTGTCACCCAGACTGGAGTGCAGTGGTGCAATCTCAGCAGCTCGCTGCAAAGCATTCAAGTGATTCTCCTGTCTCAGCCTCCCAGGTAGTTGGGATTACAAGCACCCACCACCACGCCTGGCTAATTTTTTGTATTTTCAGTAGAGACAAGGTTTCATCAAGTTAGCCAGGCTGGTCTCAAACTCCTGACCTCAGGTGATCCACTCACCTCAGCCTCCCAAAGTGCCACTACGCCCAGCCTACATATACTTTCATTATTATTTTTCACAAACTCTACCTCACTTTAACACATTTCCCAAGTATTACATCAACTAAAAGAAATACAGAAATTCAATCTGATGTTGATCTAAAATTTTGTTTATATAATTCGTAGGTAAAGAAATGAGAGTATACTCTTAGCATGAAGTACACACAAGTACCACATGAGGTCTAAAAGCAACTTTTTCCTTCCACTCACTTGCTGGGTCACCTGACTTTGATCAGCATTTAAGTGAGTAGGATGCCACCTAAGTGAGTAGGACACACACAAGATATCTGAGAATGAATGATCTTACCTGTAACTGCTTTGAAATCCCTGGAATATATCCTCTTACTCAGTAGAAAACAGTTTTAGTGTGTTTCTTTAATTGTTTTTCAAGCTTTTCATTTGTTTCCTGTATCAAATGAGGGGAAAACTCAAAGTTCTTTTTACTTTATTTCTCACCAAATATGACAAAGTTACTCATATCAAAGCTAAAAAGTAATATTCTCCCATTCATCACAGCCCTTTAAGAGTAACACACTTGTTGAATTATCCTAAGATGAAATTTCAAAGACAATTTCAACTGTGGTAAATACATTTAGCAAAAACTCTCGGAATACTTGTCTATAACAAAAAATAATTTCAGAAGAACATGAGTTTAATTATCATGTATATCACTCAAGTGCAAAGACTCAAAAATATATTGATAATCTGAAAGGTTTTTTTATATAAATTTAAAAATAGCTACTCATAATATCATGTATTCCCAGTAAGCATGTTCAGTAAAAATAAAAATAATATTCATGGAACGTCTGTGGCTCCTCTTTATTTAAAAGCAGCTTAAATAGATATAAGGAGGCAATATTTTAAAATATTGTTTAAAAGAGGAGACCATATGAATACGAACATGTTTCGGATTTCATTTTATTCATGAATTCTTGAATATTTAATTTATCTGAATGTCTTCCCAAGGGAAGTCAGGTGGTATTACCATAATCAAGTAAGGATTTCTCGGTAAGTAATCCCAGCAGGAGAGCTAACAGTCAAGATTTCCTATCTGGTGGTGAAATGGAGAGAGTTAGGGATGTGAACCAGAGATGAAGTTCTGAGCTGAATCACCCCCGGTGAATATAAATGAGGCCTCCATCTGGGATTTTAGAGTATATTATTTCCTTCACTACCATGAGTTTATAGTTTAACTCATATCCAACCAGATGTATTTAATTCATATCTAACTAGATGATAGGCTGGTTTTTACTTCTATAATTATTAACAATGATATATACAGCCTAGAATTAATGCAACAAGAAGCTCTGGCATTTGAGTAGAGTTAATAGTCCATGTGCATTAATGATGTATCCACAAATAATATATTACCATCAGCTTAAGGGCCAGAAAGCATTTTCAACACAAATCGTTATATGTATCTTTAAGAGTCTTTAATGTTTTAATTCTAGAATGGAATATAAGCATATTTGCCTATACATGAATAATCTTCCCATTATAGCCTTTAGATACTGATTCTTCACACACAAAGACACCCCAATAGCCTGTTATTCAATTTGGAAATGTTTTTTAGCAGAAGTTCTGCCTGCCAACCCAATTAAAAACCAATTCACCCCAAAGTGAATCAGAAATAGACTTAGGAGGGAAGAATATTTTATCTGCCTAAGCGATGCAATGTGCTTTTGTTTACACCTTTTTGTTGATAGTTACCATGCAACACAAGAAGCCACAGCAGCCCCTGCGGAAGTAAGATGAGATTAATCGTATATGATGAAATGCTGACACTGTATTACATAATATTTCAGTGCTACCATAGATACACCCATTTTAGCTTCAGATGAATAAAACATTTTATTCCATATTTATAATGATAAGTAGTAAGATGTTTTAAAGGGATTCTGTAAGAATGGTATCAAGGTTTTATTGGCAAAGGTCACTAAAAATTGTTATATACACAGCCATTCTATGTAATTTCGCTATCTTTGGTACAGTTGTACTTCTGTGGTTTTAGGTCTTATTCATTCATTTATTCTTTAAAAAAAATATTGATCTATGACAATGTAAACATACTTTGCACTGAATAGGATTTTGCCTAAGGTTTATCCTATACAAAGTCTATCTTATGATTACATTAATAAAGTTTCCCAGAGTTGAGGATATTTCAATGTTTCCAGGGTAAAAAATTTGGTAACAGGCCGGGTGCGGTGGCTTACACCTGTAATCCCAGCACTTTGGGAGGCCAAGGCAGGCAGATCACAAGGTCAGGAGATCGAGACCATCCTGGCTAACACAGTGAAATCCCGTCTCTACTAAAAATACAAAAAATTAGCTGGGCATTGTGGTGGGCACCTGCAGTCCCAGCTACTTGGGAGGCTGATGCAGGAGAATGGCGTGAACCCAGGAGGTGGAGCTTGCAGTGAGCTGAGATGGTGCCACTGCACTCCAACCCGGGTGACAGAGCGAGACTCCGTCTCAAAAAAAAAAAAAAAAAAAGGTAACATATTTAAGGCACTCGTAGACTGAATATTTCATGTCACTGAGGTATATTAATGAGTAATTACTTATTACAGAGAAAAATATAAGTTTCTAAAAAAGGTAAAGAAACAAATTATAAATCTATGTAGAAGTACACTGATACATGATTTTCTTTCTTCAATGAAAAAATACTTATTGAGATTCAACCAAATGCCGAGCACTACGTTAGAAGCCATGTGCAGGAGACAGGCAGTGTCAGGGAGGTTGGAAAATATAAATTGCAATCCTCCAAAATTCCAAAAGAACTTAAAATCTCGAGGAGGAAAAGATTAAAATGGATGAAAGGTTAGCTCCTAATTTAAGGTAACATTATTTAATAGATAAGAATATGCATTTTAATCTAGGTTTCACCAGTTTAAATGGTGGCCTACATTTAAATTATTTGAGATGTTTCCTAATCAAAATTAGGATAACAATGGTACCTTTTTCTGATTAGGTTTGAGGAGTAAATGAGGAAATAATCTTAGCACAATGCTGGGATTTAGCATTCAGGAAATGTCTATTGTTATTTGATTCCAAATGAGTAATACATACAAGATGAGAAGAACTTGGAAATGGAGTAGAGGTAGAAGTAGTACACAGCAGAACAAAAGAAACGTCAAGCATGGGGAAGGACTTCAATGGCAGCTTGAAAGGCAGTTAGGATATAAATGGGCAAAGATAAATAAGGTAGTACTACAGTCTGTTGGAGAGGAGTAACAGAGGACAGACACAAATGTCATGTTTGCTGAACCAATCTAACTAGAATAGAAGGTGTGGGTTGCAGTTTACTAGGATGTAATATTGTAAACAAGAGTGGAGGCCAAATTGAGGCACTTTGAATAGAAAGGCTAAATGATCTGCACTTCACAGGTTATAGAGAGTAAATTGATTGCTGGTTTTGCATATTAATTGAAAATATTCATGTTCAGAGGCTGTCAAAGAAATATAAATAAATAAATAGTCATACTGATTTATAGAATCTAGTTTTTGACACCATACTTTCAAAAATAAAATCTAAGGTATTAAGGGAAAGAATTGACCCTTTCAGCAGCATGTTTAGATTTTATAAGCCATGCATCATAATTATATCTCTGCATCTTCACATTCCATTTTCAGATAAATATATAGGCTCTTTGACTTTCAATGCAAAAGTTAATCGCTAATCTATTTTTAACTAGGATAGCAAGCATGCTTGTCCTACTGAGTTCTATAAGTGGAGAAGGATAACACAACAGTAAACAGAAATTACTTAATGAATCAACTGTGCACGTAGTCTTGAAAAAAATGTCTTCAGTGTTACATCACTTCAATTATAAACCAGCAATTCTTCAGATCTCATTAATAGATAAGCATGCCAAATTAAGTTTCATAATACTTAACTCACAGTGATTTTAGGGCATGTCAAAGATTCTTATGTATGTTTTGACTTCTGAAATATTAAAAATTTTTAAATGGAAGTTTCTAGATTTAAAATTATAAAATTCTTAAAAGTTTCAAAGTCAACACAGACTTACATGTACTTCATTTCAAATTTTAAAATAGTTTTGTCTGTGATTAATTAAAAATATTTAACTGAAGTCAACCTGATGAATTAAATAAGACATAAGATAAATAAAAAAAAAAAACTAGGAGGCATGGACTGAGATCATATATAAAGAGCAAGAAAACTTTAACTAAAAAAAAAATTGTGATCTAAAAAGAAGAGTATTTAGAAGATGCTTCGAGAGTCCTAGATCAATCATCAGATGAAGTCATTCACAGTGATGTTACCTGCTTAAGATTAAAAAAACTTACTTCTTTTTTTTGAGACGGAGTTCACTCTCACAGCTGAGTGCAGTGGCACCATCTCGGCTCACTGCAACCTCCACCTCCCAGGTTCAAGTAATTCTCCTGCCTCAGCCTCCTAAGTTACTGGGACTACAGGCACACGCCACCACGCCTGGCTAATTTTTGTATTCTTAGTACAGATAGGGTTTTACCATGTTGGCCAGGATGGTCTCAATCTCTTGATCTCGTGATCTGCCCGCCTCGGCCTCCCAAAGTGCTGGCATTACCTGCGTAAGCCACTGTACCAGGCCGATAAAGGAACTTTATCCCTATACCACATCAGGCATGATATAAAAGACAATCATCAATTAGGTGCTGACTCATGCACCTTAATAAACAGCTGAAAGATGTGTATAGGAAGGACCTCTGTTCCTATTCAGTTCAGTTCTGCAAACATGTACTCAAAATCTAAGGGCAGAAAATAAAGCACTCTGTGAGGTAATAGCTGCAGACTTCAGCCTGGCTGTCCTAACACAGTGGCCTGCTACAACCAACCATGGGAAAAGGAAGGAATTATGACTAATGCGAAAGGAATTGCTCATCCCTGGAAACTGATTTTAGTTCATCTTTGTCTCGACGGCCAAAATCTCAGTAAATCCCTGGCATGCATTATGCGTGAACAGATGGCACTACATGACAAAAGTTGAGTACCACTGATTTGCAAGGTAGGAAATACTCCATAATTCTCCTGTGTACACAGCAACTGCTGTTCCCAAAACTCTCCCCACTGGCCCAGGAGTATGCTCTTTAATTCAGTGGCACAGAAATTTTGCAAGTGGTTTCACAGAATAGCTGTAACCTGGCAGGGGTCACCCCGGTACCCCTAGTCATATGGTAGTTGAAACCATATAAAGTACTGTTCGATTTTTAAACCTCAAGAATGTAATGACAATGTCTTATGATCCATTGTAACAATAAGCGAAAAATGAAAGAGACTGGGAAAGGTAGGACTTGGAATAGTTAGACTAACTAGATTGTGAATTTTACACTGGGTTGGCATCAGGATCTTTTATGCAACTGAAATCTTTCAAAGTAGCTAATGGGTAAAAAGAAAATGTGCAA